ACGCGTGTGTCCAAAATCCGCGCAAAGAGGATCATTGATTGGGTTTTGCATCCCAGATATTGCTCGTATATTTGCTCACTCTCCCGTAGTATTTTTACTCAGTAGATACATTTTAAGGGCAATCATCCGGAAAACTGCATAAATACTTTTACGTCTCTTTCGAAATCATCCTTAGAGGTTTTTCCAGTTTTTCGGCTTTGTGAAAAAACCAGACACGTGGACCGAGAGAATTAGGCGACTGATCTACGTGAATTAAACATGGAAATCCATAGCATATGTATCATAACGTGTCTCAACACGTACTAGGAAACGAACATAAACCGCACGAACTTATTTGATCAGCCGTTCTAAGCTAATAACTTAGGATAAATAACCGACATCTATATCTTATGTTCCATATTTATCTACCTCTTCTGAACTCAGCAATATATAGTGAACCACTCCCTTTTTATGCAATGGAAAAACGAATTTATTTGTGATCACGTTATGTACCGTCGTAGATACCTTGTAATTTAGACCCCTACTCACACTGACACTTAACATCAACTGATGGTGTATATATTCAATGGTAAACTGCAAATGGATTGTGCTACACATTGCGTCATGCGTTCTCTGACGTTAACCTTCCTACGGGCTGATGACAACAGGTATCATGAGGTTACATAAAAATCAGATAATAAAGTAAGATCTTTTTTACCGTTTGTCAGCTTACCAATATGGAGATAAGCCACGTTGTATTTTGAGCAAAATTTTTTCTGTGCAATAACATGACACTCGCAATAGTATGGAGGTAGTTTCATCATGTGTAGAGTGAAACACGATCCATTGTACAATTCACACAAGGTGGCTTCAAGCAGCTTACTAGTATGGGCTCATTTGCTTTTCAACGGAGCAGGAGGTCCCCCAAATTGTGAGTTTATAATTGAGCAGCCTGAACACGGTGAAAAGGAAAACAAATGGATAACCCAAACGCCTTTCATGATTCAAGTCGACACGGTACATGAAACTGAGTATAATGTACATCGGAACTAGTACTGAACAACCATACTAATCCGTTTGAATCAAGCTGACGGTTCTGCAACTTAAAATGTCTTCGGGTAAAACTAGACGCTACATCTTTTATGGAAACATAGTGAGAAATGGTTTTAGTTGTGCGCATGTTTACTAACCATTGGCTAAAACGCAACTCGACAAATTGATGAATAGTCACAGCCGTTTCCCAACTGGGAAACTGTTGAGTTAATATGATCAGCCGTTGGACACTTTCAAGCGACAAATGGTAATACTCATTCAAAACCCAAACTCGTTTCAAAGTCGGGGTTGATCAAATTTAAATTCAGTAATCGGTCCCAACTTATGAATACGGATGGAACAGCAGATGCTACCGCTAGCTTCCATTGTTCTACCGAATGCAGTCAGTGATTACACCCTATTCATCATGATTGCCTCTCACCCCCTTTGTAATCATGGCAGTTATCTTCAGTAAATAAAAATTTGGCCACATGTGGAGATAATAATGCTACTGTGAATTTATTAACAAAACCATTCCTTGAGGATCATCATAAAGTGCTTCGTAGTGTCGGGTTCAGTTTCAGCTATATCGCTGGAGCACACTTCGTTGCAGATCAATCCGGGTGTGGGATATAACACAGACGGAATAAGTGCGTGCATGTTTGTACAACTATCCTTATTGACAATATGGTGTGCCAGAGCTTCAATGAAATATTTTATGTGGTATTACGTTCATTCTTTCTGTGAAAATCGCAAAATATCCCCCTTCTTATGTTAGGAGTATTCGGGTTTCTGCAACAGTACCATGAAAAATGCCACAAACGTTCGAAATTACTAAACGTCCTGTGAGAAAACAGGCACAACTCACAGTACAGAGTCTCTCAATAGTATTTCACTAAAAACAATTTCAGTTCATTTAAATCCACTTCGTTCCAACAGAGTTCGAATAGTCAATAGGAAAAGTAAGCAATTGATGTAATCGTGTCACGCACAACAGTGTGAAACTACATGATAATAATACAACAGAGATTTCATAACGGCAATTGTTCAACGGAAAGCCGTCTGGTTATCTCTGTTTTGGAAAAATGAAATTCTATGAAACTCTATATCATAGGGTTAACAATGATCCGTTATGCGTCAACGTTGTCCTTAGAAAATAGAACAGACATTTTGATACGTTGTTCCGAAAATGCAAACAAATCATCAGGCAGATGACGGTGATGTGACGGAAATATTTCAGCTATAGAAGTGTTTCACTTATATGTTGATTGACAAGCAAATGAGCGAGGTGAAATGTGGCTGCTCAAAGTGAACAGGTAATTTGTAGCTCAGATGTTGAACTTTTATGAGAATATCATATCATTTTCAGACAAATGTGAGCTAGATTTCACAGATTTTCACCAAGGATGCGGAAATGCGCCGTAAACCATGGTACACTCAACGAACAGTAATGAAATCTATTGGGTTTGCTCCACAGTTTTATGTGTAACATCAGAGTATCAGTTTATTAATCGAGAAGCTGATATATATCATGGAAAAGAAAAAGGAAATACGTTTCAAGAATCATAGGTTTTAAATACATCACGAAACTAACTACAGTGTGTTGTACGCGGAAACTTAATTTAAACATATAACCATATGGTAAATTAAGACGAATTAGGTTCTGCAAGTCAACCAAAAGTGCAACTGCTAGATGTGTTCAGGAACCAAGCATTTAATTACGGGCATGAACGCCAAACCGATCAAATATGAAGAGGAAAATTATGAATATCGTACTCAAAGCCGTAATGAAGAATATAGCATAGCCTCACTTTTAAGTGCAATTATAGGAATTTTATTTTTTTCTCATTGTTAATCCAATGGTGGAAAAGTTATGAAAAGGCGCACGATGTAGTTCGGGTTGAAATATTAGATGCAATATTCTTTCCATTTTAACTAATCGTGAGGACACAAAATAACAAACAAGCTAGTTTTTGATGGAATATCAATTGGATAAAAGGTAACACAATTTAAAATAGATTAAACAAAAGGCAGTGAGAGGGGACACATTCCTGCAAAGGAAATCGATGTTTAAAATGAGACGATGGGCATTTGATTATTGATGTTTGTAAGTGTGTATCTCTGCGCGCATGAGCGGAAGGTGGAACATGGAGGTTGGTTTTGAATGGGTGGGTAGGTGAATAAGTGAGAGCTGATGAACCGAGCTTACGTCACCGGATTGTTAGTGGATGGCCATGGTGAGATCAATAAACTTAGAAACTGTTTATGGGTTCACAGTGTGGGGGGGCTGTTTTAGAGACGGATGACAATCGCGGTTGCTTTCAAGGGTAGGTTATCCAAAGAGGTCAAGTCCAGAGTTCTACCGACAGTTGATCGGGGGCATGTTGCACTTCTTGAAAAGAATAAATAAATCTCTAGACTATCAAGCTTTGATTAGCTCACTCGATTGGTCAGAGGCACCGGACAATCTTGATGGTCTTAAATATTGTTGTAGATCATGATAGTTACAAGCAGAAAACCAAACTTGAGGGAACCCAGCCATTTTGGTTTCATCTTGCTTGTACTTATTCTTCATTATATAAACAGTGAAATAACAGGTGTTATATATGAAATATACATCATCAGAAGAACGACACGAAATGCGCAAAATAAATAGATACATAAATATATCGTGATAATCTCAACTAAGGATGGGAGTTACACTGTTGCTGGNAAGGATGGGAGTTACACTGTTGCTGGACAGGAGTTTTATATGGTGCGCCGTATTCTGAAAATGCTTTTTTCGTTAACGATGCTTTCAAGAAAAAAATTTGATCTTATAAGAAACACCAACGTAACTTTCCAAATTAATTTATTTCGTTTGCAAAGTTTTTAAACATTTTCACATACGAGCATCACTACACCACAGATGTGCACAACAAGATACAGAATATTTCACAATCAGCATTGCCTATGATAAAATATTCGCCATGAGCCGTTACCGATGTGCTCCTACTGATCAGTTTGGATTGAGCGTGCATACATATCCAAATGTTTTTGTTGTAACGCTTACACATTACTAGGTCCAATCACAAACTGTTATGCACACCTTGTGATGGATGAGCCATTGTTATTGGAAAAATGATTCTAGTCTTTTTCCATAAAAAATGAGGGATAACAGACAAACTATGAAAAGCTAAGTTTGTTATCTTGAAAAAATGAATGCGACACCTGAAGCTCAGACCAAGTTTCGAGCAGAATAGATAAGCCTACTGATCAATAATTTCTCAAAGTTCTTCGCATTCATTGCAGAATTAAATAACTGTTCGCTTCATAGTTCGTTGTATTTTGGGACTAGGGTTTTGAAAACATAAGTATATTTACCGAAACCTGCTTTCTGTTAGACCGTGAACTAATAGTTTTTACTCTATATTTCTTTGCCTGTTTGCAACACGCTTCCATATTAGTGCTCGTGAGCGAATGTGTGTTGGCGTCAAAATGCGCTTGGGGCATGAAAACTCACAATAAACAAACAGTAGAATTATAAGTTTTTATTGATTTATTGTTATGTTAACATATGCCTAAAGTCAGCATGATAAGCGTGTTGTTCGTCCGTTATTCAATTGATTCTGAAAAAGAAAACAACGAAATCAAATTATTTTATTTCACTAAATTGAGCATTTACATAAGATGCTTAATTTAGAATTCACACACTGAGATTTTCCTGAAACAAAGGGACCTGCTTACCTGGGTGTGAAATTTAAAAGACAACTCACCCTACAACACGATTTGCGAGGTGTGCAAGAAATACTAATATGAGAAACACTGAAGGTTTGGATTTTGATACACCATCTGAAACGGACAAGAAGGGATACGATTATTTTGTGAAAGTCTCGATCATCAGGATTCTGTATTGATCACATATCTGCAACTTAGTGCAAATGGGAGATTGTTAGTCAGTATTGCATCTCGTGCTTTTTATAGAATAATCGCTTTTATGAAACACTTACCCAACACATAGTACACTATTACATCAGTATTGGAGGTATCTCTGGAACGTCGAATTAGTTTACTACGAACTGGAACAATTCCCCCTGGCACGTTTGGGCCTTGCAATGCCTGTTGTGGACTAGCGGGTGATTGTTCCTTCACATCTCCTTCCGTATTATCCGGTTGTTTCTCTATTACTTGTGGCTTCTTTGCTTCTCCTTCACGATCCGTTTGTTGCTTTTTGCCGGATTCGGACTTTCCTCCTTCCTTTCTGCCTTCCGCCGATCCATCTGGATTGGGTCCTGCCGAATCCCCTCCTGGTTCGATTGTAGATGTTGTTGTTTCCGCTGTACTTGCTCCGGTTGTAGCTTCCGCCTCCGCGCTAATCTCAATTGGTTCCTTGGATGTAAACTGATTACTTGTCCCTGACGGGCACAGAGTTTCTGATGTGCTCCCATTGGTAACCGTCACACATTTGGTTCCACTCGCTGACTACAAACAAATGATTAGGTGAGTTGTTACTCACTTAAGACAAATCCTTTTTAGTTACAACTACGCTTGAATAGATTCCTTTGGACTTACGGTAACGTAGACCTTCACTGATTTACCCGAATCCGATGTGACTCGGTACTGACAGCCGGTGACTGCTTTGAACGACGACACTTTGCGCTTCAGTTGAGGCAACAACGTCCTTGCAACTCTGTGCCTCCGCAGCTGGCACTCGTTGATAAATTGAATTGCGCTATTTACCGAGAATCCCGCTGACGCAGAACGTTATGAGCAGGATTTTTACGATATTAGAATCCATGTTCATTTGGTTGTAGTTCACTGGAAGCCGCTGTGCCTTTATAAGGTATCTCGCACACAATTATTGGCAGGATGAAGGTGATTGGTAGCTTTCTCACTGGTCATTCACGTGATTGCGTGATTCAATCGACGTCAACGGGCCATGCCCACTCGTTGAAGATATGACTTTTCATGCAAAACAAAGTATAACAACGACTTACTGACGATATAAAAAAACAACTGTTTATCACCATTTATGAAAATTCAATGCAGTGACATGTTTCCTGTGGTCTAACACAATCATGAAATTGTCAGTGTTCTTGTTTCCCGTCTCACCACTAAAAACAGCACGCGATTTTTAAAGCGCAGGTTTAGCCAAAACATAGAAGCATCCATTGATGCCTCTGTCTATTAAAAAGTTCTGGTCTCATGGGTTGTCACGTACTCTTCTGGATCTCTCATTTGTCAGCTGAGTAAATATCATTGAAATAACAAACGGTGTACTAACCGGGATCACTGCTTCCCGTATGTACCTAGCCCGAAATTCTTGTTTCTCCTCTGTTCCAAAAGTCCACAGAGTGGGGCCATTTGTTTTGCACGAGGTATTTACTTTACATCTGGAAATGTAGCCAATTATTAGAAAGCGTAGTACCGGAATAACACCAAACATCGGAAGTTACAACTCTCTGGATATCAGATTTTGATTAAGCAGTTTTCTTCCAATTGGATGGTTGCCTGGATGGCTTTTAATCAGCCTTCCACTCATATAGAGTCTGAGTCAATATCAAGTTTATTCATTTTAAACTATAAGGCGAGCAAACATTACCGCCATAGCCCGAAAATCAAACATTTTGCAACGAAAACAAAAGACAACTTGGGCAAAGATGTTTCCTAAGAGTTATTTTGCCTTAACGGCTTGGACCTTAGCGCGGAATTGTGTTGAATTGATGGATTGCGTTCCGCAGGATCACCTGTTAGTGAAATTTCATGATGTAATAGCTCATTTTATCTGGCAACATTTTCTTGGACGAAAACGAAAGAAGACATCAAGGTTTTAAGTTATTTGGTCAGCATCCGTCGATCTAAACCGAGTGAACCACTGATTCATGACCGCACCTAACACACTTGGCTACTGCCCTTTGAACTTACATAGTGGTTTCACACAATGGCTTCATGATTAATTCAGCAGTGCCAGAAATTCATGTAGCATTTGACGGATATTGCATAATTTCGAATAGGGAATTTCATTTGAGAGAGTCAAAAACGCAAAAGTCATGCGAATGGTAGTTTTGCTCCTTGAGGTATGGTTTCGGGATCAAGTGTAGCTCGGGTATTTACGAAAATAACCACAAATATTTTATTTCTTCATCTGAGACAATGAAATTGAAAGTGACGTGTTTCGAGGAATGGATAAAAATCAATTAGAAACACACATTATTCTGATAATCAACGTGATTTAGCAATCCAGTTCGAGATTCCAATATACGTTTGAAAACATAACGCTCCCACCTGTGGGGTAACAAGAATGACCTCAACCTANAACCTAATAAATCGAGTTGTGATGTTGATCTGGATATCCATCACTTTGCTCTGAACATCGTCGAAAAACGTTTTTTGTGGAATTTGTAATGAGTCTTTTAGAAAAAAGAGGTGTTCCCAACATTAATGAGTTTCACTAGAAAAAGTTGTGTAGAATTTACTATTTTCTAGACAGACGGAATTCATCTTGAGGTGCAAATGAAGGTATTGTCATGATCTACTGAGATCAATGTGGATCACGAAGTTCCATAGGAATCAGTGTCTTATCCATGTTATGAGTTCGTATTGAAGATTTGCTGAGATTATGAAACTTCAAAACCTTTGAATCAACCCGATTGGAAAATTTACTCACTCCACAGGTTTTGCTCCGGTTTGGTTCCATTAAATGTGCATCCATGTGACCCATTACACAGAGGACAATCGAAAGTACTGTGCCCATCATCATGCCCCGATTTGGTCCGACGATATACTTTGTACTTTGTAGTTATTGTTCGCATACCGCCTCTAAGCGCTCCTCCTTCCACTCATTTGTGCATCACCTACCCTTATCGTTCTTGAACTCTCGTTAGCCCACGCTCGCCACTCTCGTGCGTCATTACATACGAACTACCCTGGATCTGTTCCCATACCCACGTTCAGTTCATTGTCATCCCGTCCTCTTTATGTTGACCTCCATAAAGTCTGATTCTAAGGTACAGAATATCATTCTCGATTAATAACTACACATGATTCCATTGGAAATCTGTTTCATATGTCGAAATTAGGCATTGTAATAAGTTGTTGGATGTCGACATTTAAACGCATCAACTTCCTCAGCAGTATGATACGTAACTAAATTGACGAGGAAAAACAATTCTGTCTCACGGTAGGTTCATTACATGTTATAACACGTGTATAATGTTGATCCGGGGCACGCGGCATTTTGGTGCCTCGATAAGTAGGCAAAGGTTTGAACATATCACGGCTTATTGTGTAATGGTTGTGGCAATCCGTCAGATCTCACTCTCTTTGTGAAGATGCAACATCAGTTATCCTACGATCTGATCAAACGTAGATTATACAAATACTTTGCAAATTGTTACTAAAATATTTTCTTCACTTGGTTTTAGTGCTATCGTTTCTGGAGTCCAAGGTACCTGAAACGTTACATAATGAAGAGCTCTGTGTAAAGAAAGAAAGTGTTACCTCACAATTTGGAATCAGGTGGTAGATAATATTTTAACGCATCAATGAGTTATTCCTTTGCATACCAAAGAAAATGACAAAGATTTACCGAGTAGGAGACAACCAAGTAAACACGGACCTTAAATCTTGGCATGTTGAGAATCCATGAAATTACCAAGCAAGTGGTTGCTATTTGATTACGTGTTAAAATAAGGTGCACTGGTTGTAAAATGAATTTCCGTATTTTTGTTTATCTTGGCTTAGTCGCCTTACTAGTTCCTGGTATATGTTTAGTTGATTTACAAACCGAACGGTCAAAATTCGTTCATTAATTTGGTTAACTGAGAAGGAAACATATACTTCAAATCCTCCATGTACTTCTTCCTGAATGTGTTCCTCGAAGCCCCGTGGGGAACAACTCCTATCACCATCTTGCGACCAGAAGGGTGTTTTCACAACCGAATTCTTGGGCTGTTCGGGCTCTCTTTCGCTGGGTAAATTGAAACTTGTATGTAACCCCCTGACGCTTGAGTACAATACAATAAAATGCAAAGTGATCAACGACATGTTTTACTGCATTAAAAAAACTCGACCTTATGCAGCTCAAACGAAATGAAAATTGCAAAAACATAAATTTAAAAAAAGTTTACGAATTCCTATTTCAGCTTTGCCAGTTTCACGTACAACCACAAAGCAACCCGCGTTTAGCAGGAGCCTATAGGTTTGAAAACGAATATTAGTGAAACGTTGTATTGACTTTGTAAATGAGGTGTCCACATCTAAATAGTCTACCGGTTTTCTCTTAGTCGCACAGTGCACTACACAAACTGGTACACAAATTGATAGAAACCGATGGTCATGGACTTCATAGAACACAGTGATTCGGAGAGTATACTCTGCGAAATTCAATAATCGCACAAGCACAGTAATTATTGCATAACAGCCTTGGTCGCTTTGTAGTTCATTATATCACGTCATGGAATAACATGCTGGTCCACATCGCTGCGGTTGTAGATTTCAGTGTTTTTGCATGGTCGATTATCAAATACCGATATATCACTCTGGGACTGAATAAAACTTCTCGAACATGGATCATAATGTAAATCACTACATTTACGTCATTCGGAAAAACGGAATGGAACAGTAGAATCATTTACGATAATTATATTTTATTGTCGCATAGAACGCCACACTCAGACGTATTTCATGACCTTTAAATAACTCCGTTTCATCATTTTTTGTATCCTACTGAACTCACATGAGCCTATCAATGCATCTACAATGAGCGAGAGTTCGTTGGAATGTTTGACAACGAAATAAATAAATCGCAGTACGTATCTCGCCTATTTCACATTCAGAAGCATTCTTAGGAATGATAAAGTATGAGACAGACGTGAGAGGTAGAAGGAAAATTGTCCGGTGAATCGCAATATATGTGCAAACATTTTGCCGTTGTCAATCAGCACATTTTGGTGACACATAGCAATTGACACCAAAGAATGTTTTCAAGTTAGGCATTAGTATTCCAGTGAAACACTGGTTGAACAATCATTATTTAATTTCTACAGGGTTAACTTGAAATGCGTTTTCTAATTTGTGAGCACCACGGTTCCAATACAAGTTGCCTCCCAGTACATGTATAGTCAAACTCAATCAGGCCTGTAGGATACACACATCTTTCCTATTGCCCTAAGTCAGAAGTTTTTTCGTCTATCTTAACAGGACGGTGTATAAAAATTGAAACAAATATATAAGGTATTCTGTAAGAGGGAACTCTTCACACTTAGTAGACTGTTATTTTCCCTTGTGGGAGTCGCCTGCTCTTCGATCTAAGTCATTTATCCAAATCTCACCTATTACTGATCAAAGCTACGGTATACGTCGGCAGCTAAATTCCAGCAAACCGCAGGTACGCCAAGCAGTTTTGGAGTAGCCTAGATATGGAAACGTGACGGGACGGCTATGACATGCATAGGCAACCACTCCAGAACGGGCTGCTGGTTCTACCATTTGATGCAACATTTGTGTCTAACAAACGGAAACAAACGGGCATTAGGA